ATTTATGCCTAGACTGACAGGCACAGGCTTAATCTGTTTCTTCTTTCTTGGTTCCCAAGATGACCTGCAGGAGGGACATTTGACATGACTGTAAAGTGTTCATAGTAGTTGTGCAAGGATGAGAGTGAAGACATGTGAGACTCTTACAGCCGAACAGATAACCTTATCCTGTTGATAGCTCCCAAATCGGTCAGATAGGGAATGACAGGTCTGTTGTTCAACTGTCTTTAATCAGGTTTCAGTACATTCTAGAAAATGAAGTCACTCAACACCCTGGGCAGCTGGGAGAGAGGCAGGCCCTGCTGAAAGTAGAAGGAAGCTCTGGCCCTCTCTGCCAGCGTATCCTGCTCTCGCTAAGCACCCCCAGTCTGGGACGCACTCCCACTGCCCAGGGGAGGCCTCACAGGCACAGGAGAAGAGCAGCGGGCTTTCGGTGGCCTTCAGAAGTTTCCTTTTCACACTTCCTGGGTCTGTGACCTTGAGAAGGTCATTCAACTTGAATGGCGTGGTTTCCTCTTTGTCACGGGGAGAAAGGCACTGCACTGTCCATCGGGCGTGGGGAGTCTTGTTTAACCACCGTGGCATCCGTAGGAAGTAGGTTTTAGCCCATTTGGCAGAATTGTATGTTGAACCCAGAGAGGTACAAAGCTTATCGGAGGTCAGGTAGCAATAAGAATTCTAGCTTGGATATGTCCAATTGCAAAAACTTCTCTGTTTTTCCACTAACTGCATTCTACCTTCTTGTTGCTTAAAAATGTAAAATAAAATGAGACTCACTGCCCCTTGGTGGTGAGCAAGTATCCGAAGGGATCATTTAAACCTGAGTGCTTACCGCCTGGCACAGTGGGCACTCAGTCAGTAACCTCTCCCTTTCCCACCTGTTGTTAAACCCCTTCAAGGATGTGTGGTCATGTTTTAATCACCCCTGTTCTCTGGGGGACATGCTTGCCGGGGACAGCTGTATGTCTCTCGTGTCCCGGGCTGGGGAAGTGTCCGGCAGAGGAATCAGACACCACTGTTCCCGACGCACTGACTGTCCCTCCCTCCCATGAAATACTCTTGGTATTCCTTTCTATCCATGAAACTTCCAAGAGTGGCACTCGGAGAATATATTGTAGTTAATTACATTTGAAATCTAGGTCATGATGTAAATCATGGAATGAGAAGACTTAAGGACAAAATTAAAATATTTTTGAAGGGTTGTTTCACTGCTTCCCCTCCTTTTTTAATTAAAATATTTTCTAGACTCTCAGGTGACCCTGTCCAACTACCATTAGAAACGCTGAGCCCCTGGTTCAACATCTGGTTCCTGCTTGACTCTCTAGGCATGAAAAACTCACTGCCCCGATGCAGTCTTTCTCATAGATGAGCTGTTGAGTTTCCCTGTTTTTGAAGTTGGTTTTTTTCCCTCCAAATATGTTTTTTATTGATTTCAGAGAGAGGAAGGGAGATGGAGAGAGAGAAACATCAATGATGAGAGTCATTAATCTGCTGCCCCTTGCACGCCCCCTACTGGGGGTCGAGCCCGAAACCCAGGCCTATGCCCTGATTGGAAATCGAACCGTGACCTCCAGGCTCATAGGTCAATGTTCAACCACTGAGCCACACCAGTGGGATCCCTTTTTATTGAATTAAAAGTCTTTCTCAGGCCCTTCGGACATGTGCCTCACTTTCCATTGCAGTTGACACATCCATTCAGCAAGTAGCATCTCCAGCACCCACTTGTCTCGGAAATCCCCCGGCCCTAGGGGGTGTCCGGGGGCCGGGACCCTCACAAGGAGCCGGCTCTGAAGCGGCATCGTCAGCTGGAGAGGCGGACAGCAACGAGCAGATAGAATTTCGGATAGTCTATGAGGAATGTAACGGATGGTGGGAAAGAAAGTGATTAAAAGAAAGCGGGGGGGAGGGGGGGCTCCTGTGGCAGGGAAGCCAGTGTTTGAAATCAAATATGAGTCACAAGGAAGAGCCAGCCTCAGAAACCTGGGGCCCAGCACCCTGGAATGAGGGTGGGGTAGCGAATGCCGAGCCCAGGGCTGGAGTGAGCTCCTTATGTCAGGAGGAACAGAAAGGCCAGGGGGGTTGAAGCTGGGTCCGAAGGAGCAGCGTGAGGCTGAGGGGCAGGCAAGTCCCATCCTAGGGCCTCCAGGGCCAGGAGAGGAGTTTGGATTTCATTCCACAGGAGGAAGCCGGCTCTTGATGGCCACTGTGTGTGTGATATATTTTATGTATACATTTAGATGTACATATGTGTGTGCATGTATACATACACACATGATATATATGTGCATATAACTTGGCTAAAGTTTCATATATGCATATGCTGTGCACATAGATCTCTCTCTGTGCAGCTCAGACATATATGGACTCCTCTCTCTCTCTGTTTCCCTCTCTGTCGCTGTATGTTTATGAGACTTTAGCTAAGCACTTGTTTTCCATATAGCTCAAATATTAAGTATCTTTGGAATGTAGGAGGCTTACAATAAGTAAATACATTTTTAGAAAGTTTAAAGTAGAAATGAGGAGCTTTTAAACTACTAACTGCCCAGTTTTTGTTTGTTTTTTTCTATTTTTGAAAGGACAAGCTATTAGTTAGTCTCTTCACTCTATGACTACTGGTCATTCCCCTTTAAAAGAAAGATCTCAGATGTGCCCTATGCTAACCAGGATGCCACATAGCAGGGTGGAGAGAAGAGTCAGACACTGACATTCAGATCTGCTCTCTGACTGTCACTCAGGTGTGGAAGGCTTGGGACCTGGAGTTAAGACCTGAGTCTGAAAACAGAGCAGTGAGATGGAGATAGCACCACCTGCCAAACAGAGGGTAGGATCTAGTAGCTGCTCTCTCCCTCACTTCACCCACCCACCCCCTGCACAGGTGCACACATGCACAGACTCCTGCAAGCACACACATGCACGTGTGCACACACACAAAAATAGCATGTAACAGGCAAGCGCAGCTGGTCCATCCTGTTGACCCAAATGAGCAGTTGAGAAGGAAATGGAATTTGCCTGAAACATACTGAAATATTCAATTGACTAAGCCAAATGGCCCATTAAATTGAGCTTATCCAATCAGCAGAACCAACCTGAACCACATCTTGTTTCGCCAGCCATCCTTAAAAATTTCTCTTTTTTCCCCAAAACAATTATGCCACCCGCTCTTGCAAGTCTGTCCTCCAGCATTCTGAGCGTCTGAAGGTTTCCAGCCAGTTAACTGCCTGCTCTTTAATATACATTTTTTTCCCAAACAGTTAATACAGTTGATATCTGAGGAAAGTAGATCAATTGGTTTGTCATAAAAATGGAAGCCCTGGTTGTGATTCTCTGTTTATAAATTCCAGACAAGTTTTTAACTAATTAAGTGAATTTTAAACCTGGTCTAGAGAAGTGATGGGCCCTCTTGGTGGGGAACTTCTTGCTGGCTCTGGAAATCCCACGGCCCCCGAGCCTGGCCTGCCCCTACGCCATCCCTGTGTTTAGACAGGGATTACTAAAAGTTTGCAGTCTCTTCTTTCTGAGAGAGGGTCAGACATGGATCATTGCTTGTCACATCCGGAAAACATGAACCACGACTCGCCCACCTTTGGGATCTCCATGCCATCCTGCCCAGCAGTGTCTGTGTGCTTGAGGGGCTTTAATGCCCAACTGTGAAAAATCCCAGATGGGTAGAGAGAAGGCGTAAAGGAGGCAGTTTGTGGGAAGAGAGCCCTGAGTTTAGAGTTTTGCATTTGGACTCTGAATTTTGAAATGGACTGAATGTTGGTGTCCTTGGGCAAGACTCTCATCTGTAACTGCCCTGCCTCCCTACCTTACACTGTAGGGTTGTGATGACAAGTCACCTGAGCAGGCTGCAAAACCACTTTATAAACAGTAAGGCTTTGCAACCATGAAGCTTTCTGCTCTTTCACCTGTTTATCCCTCTAACCCAACTTCAAACATTTCCTCCGCCATGAAGCCCTCCCCAGCTGCTTCAGGCAGAATGAATGAGCACATGCCCTCTTGGTACCCTGCCTAAAATGTAATCATAACGTGTATCGTGTCGATGCCTGCAGTCGGGTTGTATCAGCTCACCTTTCCCACGTGCCTGCTGCTACACAAGCCTCCCCAAAACTCAGTGGCTGAAAACCACCCTGAGCCGGGGTGGCCCTGCCGCACCTGTCTCTCCTCTTCATCCTGGGACCAGGGGTTGGCCAGGGCGCATTCTACTCATGGCAAGAGGGCAAGTGGGGACCCATGAGGCCTCTTGCTGCCTGGGCTGGGGACTGGCGCGTTATCATTTCTATCCACACTCCATTGGCCAAATTAAAATCAAATTGTTGGGGAGCACATCCCCCTCACAGTGAGGCTATAGCAAAAATTAGGTGCTGGGCTCGGTGAAGAACTGGAAACTAAACAATCAGTCTTTCATATCAGGAGCCCCTGGTGGACGGGTGGCAGGACTGTCTACTCCTATATTACCTGCCCCTTGGCCTGGGGCTGGCAGGTAGATAGTTCACTGATGTTTGTCGAGGTTCCAAAGAACTTCCCAACCCTTTCCTTTATAGCAGAGTTTGGCAAACTGTGGCTGCAGGGCCAAATCTCTCTCTCTCTCTCCCTCTCTCTCTCTCTCTGTCAGCAAACATAGAACTAAGCATGTAAATTGTTGAAAAACAAGAGAAAAATGATATTTAATGACACACGGAAATTATATGAAATTCAGATTTCAGTGTCCATAAATAAAGTTTTATTGGGACACAGCCACACCCATTCCTTTGTGTATTGTCTATGAGTGCTTTAGAGCAAAGCAGCACACTTGGGAGTTGGCACAGGGACTGTATGTCCCAAAGCCTAAACCATTCCTACGTGGCCCTGCACAGAAGCTTTGCCACCCCCCCGCTTTATAAGATCAAGACCCTGAGAGACACCCAGGGAGGTGGGTGCCCTGCCCAGGACTACAGAGTGGTTCAGCTCCATTAAACCTATGGATTTGGGGTTAATATTTTCCCTTCTTTGTTTCCTAGTAATTGGCTGCAGGCGACACCCATGTGTCACTGATCAGGAGGCATTTCCTGCGGCAGAGAGCTTCATGACCCAGCGACGCGGGGCCCAGTGAAGCCACCGTGGGGTCCAGCATGGCCACGCTGCTCCTGGGCGCAGTGCTGCTGGTGGCGCAGCTCCAGCTAGCGCCTTCCCGCCCTGGAGCACCTCGGGCAGAGCCGGGCCAGCAGGAGCTCGTGGGGAAAGCAGCCGCCCCGCAGGACCAGGCCCTGGACGGCGCGCCGGCCCCCAACGGCTCGGCCAGGCAGCTGCCGCAGACCATCATCATCGGCGTGCGCAAGGGCGGCACCCGCGCCCTGCTGGAGATGCTCAGCCTGCACCCCGATGTGGCGGCCGCGGAGAACGAGGTGCACTTCTTCGACTGGGAGGAACACTACAGCCAAGGCCTGGGCTGGTACCTCAGCCAGATGCCCCTCTCCGCCCCACACCAGCTCACCGTGGAGAAGACCCCCGCGTACTTCACGTCCCCCAAAGTGCCTGAGCGCGTCCACAGCATGAACCCCGCCATCCGGCTGCTGCTCATCCTGCGGGACCCGTCGGAGCGCGTGCTGTCCGACTACACGCAAGTGCTGTACAACCACGTGCAGAAGCGCAAGCCCTACCCGTCCATCGAGGAGTTCCTGGTGCGGGGCGGCCGCCTCAACGTGGACTACAAGGCGCTCAACCGCAGCCTCTACCACGTGCACCTGCGCAACTGGCTGCGCTTCTTCCCGCGGCGCCGCCTGCACATCGTGGACGGCGACCGCCTCATCAGGGACCCCTTCCCCGAGATCCAGGAGGTCGAGAGGTTTCTGAAGCTGGCGCCGCGGATCAACGCCTCGAACTTCTACTTTAACAAAACCAAGGGCTTTTACTGCCTGCGGGACGGCGGCCGGGACCGCTGCTTACACGAGTCCAAAGGCCGGGCGCACCCCCAGGTGGACCCCAAGCTCCTCAGTAAACTGCACGAATATTTCCACGAGCCAAATAAGAAATTCTTTGAGCTCGTGGGCAGAACATTTGACTGGCACTGATTGGCAGGCAATAAGCTAGGCTCGGAACCTTTCCTACTGTAAGTTCGGGGTGTGCACCCCCGGGGGGGGGAAGAGTTTTAAAAAAGGCGTTTAAGCTATAATTTATTTGTAAAATCCATAAATTACTTCTGTACAGTATTAGATTCACAATTGCCATATATACTAGTTATATTTTTCTACTTGTTAAAGCGAGGGCATTTTGTATTGTATTTCATGGTGGTTAACATTGTGTAATACGTCTCTATATGAAGGAACTAAAATATTTCACTGCAGAAAAGAAAAGAAAAACATTCTGGAGATGCTGTCTTCTTTGAATATAATTAACTTGCCCCTGACTCAAAATAGCTGTCTATGTTGCACTCGTTGGAGAACCCGTAACCCTTTGTTACTTCAGAAAAAAAAGGTTTTGCTGGCTACTGCGTTCGCCTTTCCTCCTCTCTTTCCTTCATTGCTCTTTTTAATTTTTAGCGTCTCGCTGTGTTCATCGTGTTTGTTTCTTTACTTGCCCTGGAAGGTTTATGTTCCCTGACGCCCCCCGCTAGTCTTGGAGGAGGCAGTTTCCCCCGCTCCGGCTCCAGCGGGAACCCGAGGGGGGATGTTAACCCCGTGGAAACGCAAGGTGGACAAAGCGATGCTCAGACGGGAGACACGGTTAACGCCCAGCAAGAAGCCCCCCGTGGTGCGCCTGTGATCCAGAGAGTGCTCGCATTTACTCCCCATCCCAGCAAAGGGCAAAACCCACAGTAGAGGGGTTTCAAGCAATGACCTTCAGAACGACCTTGGGACTGTGTGCTGCCCCAGGTGGCAGTGGGCCTTGGCAGAGCCGCTTAGAATAGAAAAGAGGGATTGTGAAATCTGCGTGTCCCTGTCTTGTAGATTCTGGAAAAAAAGCTGACTAAAGGGAAAGCCTTTTGCTTAGGTTGGTGTCTGTTGATCTATTTCTGAAAGCTCAGGATGCATTTATAGACATGTATGCCATCTGCTTTGAGACGTAGATATGTGCATGCTTAAAAATCACCTTTTAACTTGGAGTCCTGAAGGTGGAAGAAATGTAAACTCCCAAGGGTTCAGAGCTAAAAAGAGAAAAGCACAAAGCAGAGGGTGGCGCAGAAGGAGCCCCGTATCCCTGCGGCAAGAAGTGACAGCCCCGTTTCAGTTTGGCTTCTGCCCCCGAACAGCTGGGTCATTGAAAGAGCCTCAGTTTTCTCATTCTGTCTCCCTTCAACCAGCCTTTTACAGGATTAAATAAAATAGATTTTTTTTTTTCTCATGAAAGCAAAACATACTCATTACAGTAAAGTGAAAAATATGAGCAGGCCAAATAAAGCCATTTCCTGACATGGTTTATACTGAAGGCAGAGGAGTGAGATGGACATTATTGATATTGTTTTCTGCATCCAAGAACTCACTGAAATGTTTCCCCAAGCTACCTCGGGAAGTGCAGGAATCACTATGGCAAGTTCAAAACAGAGGAAACGGCACAAAAGAGATGAGGAACGTGCCCAAGTTCACTTTGTGAATAAGCCAGGGCCTGGAGTCCTCCTATAGCTAAACCCACCTTTCGTTTCTCTCGACACATCTCTTTCTGAACTCAAAATAAAAGGTCCGGACTGAGAGGCAGTCCTTCCCTGCTTAGCCTGGCAGATTCTTTCTCTTTGCCAAAGGTCTTCCATCCCAGGAGGTGCGTGTGAGTCACAGGGAAGGGTAGCAAGAGCCCGCGAGCTCAGCAGTGCTCGCAGGAAGTGAGTCACCTTGGTTCAGGTTCAGCATCTGCGGCCGGGCCTGACCTTACCATGGCCCACGCCCCCCACCCCGGGCGCTGCCCGGATCTCAGAGGGAAGCCCTCTTCTTCAGAACCCACTGAGGTCACTGGCCACCAGCTCCCCCGAGGGCGTGGCCGAAATCCTTGCAGCAGGCTCCCCCCTTATGCTGCAGTCCCCGGGGTGCTTCCCACTGCAGCAGGTCACCGGATCTTGTTTTCATCAACTCGGTGTAAGAGCTGAAGCAGTGAGGGGCCCAGAAAACTTAAATCAAGTTTCCAAGGCTGCCCAGGAATTTGCTGACAGCCGAGACCCCAGCATGATTTTTCCAACTCCCAAGAGGATGGCCTTTGTAAAATACCCATGAATGCCTGTGTCCTTATGGGGATGGTAGGCTTGAGGCATGGAGTGTTGGGCTCAGAGGTGGTGGGTAGGAACGGAGGAAGGAAGGCCACACACCAGGAACATGAGCTAGCTGCTGGGGCTGGCACAGTCGATGGTGGGGGTGGTCCAGCGCAAAATGATCAGTGGGAGTGAATTCAATACTTGCTGATTTGGGGATGCGGGGTCTTGACTGAGAATGTGTTCGTAGGGGTCAACCATCGACAATGCGTTGGGGCCTCCTAGTGGCTACATCTGTTTGGAAGGTTCAAGGAGTAAGAGCCATGGCTCCAGACCTAGCCCTGGAACTTGGATATAATCTGAAAATTCAGATTCAGAAGATGCCCTGCATTTGACCTTCATAGGGGCCCTAATGCCATGACTCAGGAACCAGATGAGCACCTGGTCCCTCCCCAAACACACCTAATACCCATTCTATTAACAAAGAGAGAGATGCCAACTGGACAGAGTGAGTTTCCTGCCCAAACCAGTCCAGGCCCAGGGGGCTGCTAGGTGGAGTCTTTTGGAAGAGGCAGCTAAGAGCAGCTGAGTGGAGCCTCAGCTATTATATTTAGAATATTCATGGCACTTGAAGCTTCTGAGTCAAGACAGCCCCTGCCCCCCTTCTCTCCAGGAATCAGATAGCACTGAAATTCACTGCTAACACTGGTTATCAGCTCACAGCCTGCATATGTGCTAGTTCAGCAAAAATACTGTGCCTCCAAGCTCAGGGTGCTGGCTCTTTCTATACCAGGAGACTAACGGGAGGAGCAGGAAGAAGAGGCCGAGGCCAGGGTGCCTGCTACTTATGGGAAAAATCAGAGATCACAACCAAGACTTCCAATGTTCATTAAAATTGTATATTTCTTTTGAGCCCCCGCTCTGTGCTTAATATGTTTTAAGTCCTTGGGATATAAAAGAAAATGCAACAACAGGAACTAACACTTATGAACTATGCTGGGTTTAAATTTAAAAACACACGGAAGGGCCAGGAAGGCTGGGAAAATGACACTGAACTGGCCAGTGCTTTCTCATTTAATTTAGGAACAAGTACTGAATTAAAGAGAGGAGGAAACTGAGGTAAGAAACGGACCTGCCCTCATTGCTCTCAAAGAAAGAGAGGACTGCTACTCATGCCAGCGGAGTAGTTATCCCGGAGATAGGGAGTTTTGGCACTGAGGATCATAAACAGAGGGTGAGAAATGACAGGGACGTCACTCACAATGCCATTACTCAGAAGTAGTAAGAGATGAACAATCTTCCCAAAGGTCGCATGGCAGAGCTATGACCAGATCCCTTAGAACTGATGGGCCACAGGGACCCTGCTGTTTCCAAGGGAAAGCTTCTTGGAGGATGTGCTGCGGAGCCGGGGCACGGAGGGCGATGGGTGCAACCAGAGCAGGGCATTCTGGACAAGGGCAGCTGGAGGAATCAAGACAGTGGTGAGGGGGAGGAGAAGGGAGGTAGGGGACCTGCAGGCAGACACCTGTCTATCTGGCATGCAGAGGGGTTAAACGCACTGAGAACTCACTGTGCCCCAGACCTGCGGCCTTGACATCTGCCTTCCAACTGGTGGCAGCTTACTTAGCAGGCACCCATGCGTCTCTGTCTCCTGTGCAGGTGTGTCTGTCACATAAAAATAACTATCACTTATTGGGCACCAGCTATGTGCTTGGTATTTTAAATATGTTGCTGCTAATCCTCATGACAGTTCTAAATAGGAAATGGCACGGTACTAATTTTACAGAGGCAGAAGCTCCAAATCTGAGATTAAAGGCTTTGCCCATGATGGCAGAGACACTGATTGTTAAAATGGGAATTTAGTCTCCAGCATCCTCATTTTGCTACAATAAAGTCTATGCAGTCATGGGGAGGGGGAGGAAGACGTATTGCGTGAGCATCTGTCTATTAGGCAGAGCCCATGGGGGAAATGATGGCATCCAGGATGTGGGGGTGCACAGAAAGGGTTATACCACATCAGATCTTCTTCAAGCAAAAGACTGGCTGGGCCTGGATACGACTGGTGCATGACAAAGCATGCTCCGTCCTCCGAGGAGTTCATTGAGGAAGCCTGAACTTGAGCTGGAGACCAGAGCAACACAAGAGCTCTCCAAATGGCCAGCAAGCAACAGAAAGCTACGGACACTCTGGATGAGTTGCCTTTACTGAAGTCTTGATATAGGAAATGGCCTTGGTTCATCACCCTGATATCATCATCCATTTTCCCTCAATCTCTCAATTAGGTGACCTGAGCGACAAAGCAACTAGAGCCAGGAGACCTGGGGGTGAATCCCTGCTCTACTGATTGATTAGACCATGTGGCCTTAGGTTCACATTCTCAGAATTTCAATTTCCTTGTCAATCTCAATGGGCTGATGTTTAACTTAACTCTGCTATGGGGGAAATTAAATAAGTTCAAGTAGGTGGAAACTATAAACTTGGCGGGTATGTGGCTTAGTGGTTAAAGGGCTTAGGACTTTGGTAGACAAACCCAGACTGGTTTTGAACCTGAGAGCAGGCACCCACTGCCTTTGTTTCCCCATCTACTTCCACTATGGGCCTGCAGCCGTTGCTAGGAGTCCCCCATCCATTTCCCATTTAGCAGGGAAGTGCTCCCACCCTGCCACCAGAAGAGTTGGCAGCTAATGGTTCACCCTTTAGTTGGCAGGAGCTGCCTTAGCTGGAGGGGTCTGGGAAGTTATGACTACTCTGTTCTCCACTTTCCTCGGGGCTGCCTGTGACTAATGCCTGACTGATGTGAGATGAGGGGTTGCCGATGTAGGGTAGCAGCCCAGCATCCTGGTCTCTGGGCAGGAAAACCTCTGTGGTACAAATCATCAACCCATGTTCCAGAGCTCCTCATGGATCAGGCTGGGGCCAGACCTCTCCTTTATCCTATGTCTTTATTGCTTTACCCACATCTTCTGTAATCCCCTTCCCAGCAAATGACTTGCACAAGAATATAGAAATCTGCATCTCATGCTTTGCTTCTAGGGCATCCAATCTGAGGTAGTCAACTTGCAAAAATGTCTATTCTCCCTGAATTTCAGAGATGAGACCTCAGAGCTTATTCCTAATACTTTCTACGCTGTATCTTTGTTGTGTAATTACTGTCCAGTTCCCCACCGGACACTTTGCTACCCAGGTAGAAGCCAGCAGTTCACCGTTCTTTGCACGTAGAAGATACCAGCCAATAGTGTTGATCAATGTCATATTCCCCATTTACTAGTGTTTTGGGTGCAGTGGGGAAAATGATAAAGGCTAGGTAGACTTGGTTTCCAGTTACTTGTGGCTGTGTAAGAAACCACCCCACAGCTTAGTGATTTAATGTAATAATCTAGTATCTCTCATAGTTCTGTGCAGGGCTGGGAATAGCTGGGCAGCTCTTATTTGGGTGCTTACCTGGTTGTAACCAAACACTGACTAGGACCGAAGTTGTCTGAAGGTTGGACTGGGTTGGGTGTCCAAGTTGGCTTCGTTAATTACATGTTTCAGGCCTCAGGTAGGGTGACTGGAACACCTGGGACCTGCCTAGGCATCATCCTCTCTTACTCTCCATGTGGCCATTTGGGCTTCCTCACAGCATGGCAGACTTGGTGTCACTGGTGGGACTTTGGATATGGCAGCTGTCTTTCCTCAGAGTGAATGCCCAAAGGACTCAAGTGGAAGTCACAAGTGTTACATAGTGAGACTACTGCCATGTTCTGTTGTTTCGATGGGGCCAGCCCAGATTCAGTGTGAGGAAAGGACCCCACAAGGAGCTGAAAAATAGGAGGC